TCAGCAATAGAGCGCTCGCCTAGCATGTGTAAGGCCTGGGTTCGATCCTCAGCACCACATAAAAATAAAATAAAGGTATTGTGTCCAACTACAACTAAAACATAAAATATTTTTTAAAAATAGTTTTGATCCTGTTACTCAAAATTCTTATACAAGCAATCTACTTAATATCAGATCAGATATATTTGAAAGACTTTGAAAACCCATRGAAGAAAGCAGGTATTTTCTGTAAGCAGCCAGCATGGCCCCTTCTGCAGCTGTCCTGTTGGATAATTCAGGCAGAGAGCAAGTGCAACTGCAGGGAGAACAGGGTGAAGCTGGGATGAGAGCAGATGTGACTTAAGATCACATTCAATCTTTCTTGGGGTACAATTAATTTTCCTTCACAAATCAACTTTGGAAAGTCTCTCTTTCCTARTGCCATAAAAAATAGCTGATAGGGCTGGGGATGTGGCTCAAGCGGTAACACGCTCGCCTGGCATGCKTGGGGCGCTGGGTTYGATCCTCAGCAACACATAAAAATAAAATAAAGATGTTGTATCCACCRAAAACTGAAAAATAAATATAAAAAAAATAGCTGATGGTGCTACTGGAGATCACCCAGGTGAATTTATCCAATTTTCCTTTTATGATAAAACTTTTTAATGTCTCCTAAGGATGTTAGGGAAATCTGCTCAATCGGAAAAGGTCTACAAATAATATTCAATACTAGTAACAATGCCCTTGGAGCTCAAAAACCTAATACTGGACAAATTGACTCTGTGGACTTTGTGAAAACAGTAGTACTTCCTATCAGAAGTCTGAGTGGGTTGGGGCCCTTCCCACCTCCTCACCCTCCAAAGAGGGTTACTCCAGAATTGAGGGACATTTTGGAGTCAGACATAGAAAAGTGGCTTTGGAGTCAACACTGGATTCAGGACTTGCATATGCCAATTAAAATGTGTGAACTTGAAATAAATCTTTTAACCTCTGAATCAGGGATTAGGATAGTGTGTCCTGATAGAAAGGTTGTGAGGATTAAACTAGAGATCATGGGTAAGATGCTTAACCTGCTGCTTGTCTCTGAACACATTAAGGAGGGGAGCCATGGTCAAGATATCCCTTGAAGACCCCACTTGAGACCACAGCGATTGTGTTCAGGTGCTGAGTTACTGAAAGGGTATCAAAAAGGAAGTTTCACCTACAAGCAGTTCTGAGAAAAGGCTCACAGTGGTGTTACCAGGCACTCTTCCTGAACACTGCCTCTTTCCCCCTTCCACCACAACATCCACACAGCAACAATCCTTCATCACAGCCTSGGTTTCCTCCAGTTCCAGGTTGTCAACTGAAATCCAGAGGTCRGGTGAAGATTTTTGCCTGATTGCCCAATGGTTGAAGCACTGTGGTTAAGACTGGGCATGGACTTATATTAGACCCAAATGGAAYTTGCTTCCCCCTTCACTATTTACAATCTTTTGTAAACATGACAAATTTAACCTCTTGGAACCTAGTTTCTTATTTATCTAATGAGGATAATACCTAATTGAGGGGTGAAAATTATTGAATGAGTAAATATGTACATGTAAAGTGCTTAGTACAATAGCCGGCGAACAGTAGGGCCTCAGGACACAACCACTGAATCCTATTCAAAAGTGCAAGGTAACTGCAGTCTTTTGGTGTATAGGAACTAATAATTAAGTTAAAACTGGAATCAAAAGATATGCTGGGAATCACATTCTTTTAAAAAGGAATGGATGGCTATACATCCTATCTTTAATAAAAATTAACATTTCAACAGGCTTGAACTCGGCTCACAGTTTATCTACTTTACCTACTTCGGTTTCTTATTTATAACAATTACTTGTTCCAGACAAGATACACACTACCTAAAATCATTAATTTCATTCTAAATTAACTTCCTCTAGGAACAGGGTAGAAAGAATCAAGTTTCTGATGACCTACAGATTATTTGTGATGTGTGTACTATTATCTCCTTTTCTTACAAATTAGAAAAACAGCACCAGGACAAAAGATAATCAGGSGAAGGAAGCGATAAGTATCYTCAGAGTTGAGCTCAGGTGGGCTGAGCGAGGCTGAACCTTGGTCCCCTTCAGTTCCCCTTGACTGCCCTTTTACTTTCTCAGGTATAATCAAGAATATGTCTCCTAAACAGGGTTCTCAGGAAGCCAATCGAACTAGACAAGAACAACGCCTGCCATCGAAGAGAATGAGAATTTTAATCAATAATGAGAAACTTAAAATCTGGGTGTCATCTCACTTTTCCAGCGGGGATTAAAAAGCGACAGCCCCTGCCACACAGTGACTACTCAGTCTGCCCCCATGAACGACTCCAGGTAGATTAATTTCTGAATTATGATTCACCTTCCCTTTCCTGTTTTGATGGAACACGAAGACTAAACCATCTCTGTCAATAAAAAGCTCAAATTTCCTCCCTGCAAATTCGCGCTAGAACGACAGTCTAATTGGCTGACGCGCAGGTGGGATTTCCTGTCGCCATTTTAAGGAGACACATCCCTCTGCAAGAAGTGCCCAGCCAGTTAAAAGGGGCTGTGCTTGAAACAAAGAAAAAGCAGGAAAAAAGGGGGGGGGAACGATCTCGGTCGCCCCTGCCTGCCTCCCCCTGCCCCCAACCCATCCCCGATTTGGGCGCTGGGAGGCGCCGGGCGGATAGGCGGAATCGCMTGAGGTCCTCGGGCTCCTCCATACTCGACTCTGGCCTCTTCGCGCCTAGGCAGGTGCGCGCTCGCAGCYCTTCAAATCTTCTGGTGCGCTTCACACCCAGTCCCCAAAACAGAGCTGCACAGAGCAGATCTCAGGGAGGGCTGGCGAGGTCTGCGGGTGTAGGATCCGGAAGAGGGAAGGAACCTCTTGGGGAGGGCTAGGGACAAAGGATTTCCAAAGGTTCTGCGCTCCCAGCTCCCCCAACCACTCCGGTCCTCTTCCCGCCCACCCGGGCCGTCTACCGGCCACCCAAGGAGCCGACACACGGCTCCATCCCTGCCCGTAGCTGCAGGCGCTGCCAGCAGCTTTCTGGGYTGCATTCCCGCCAGTCACTCTTGCGGCCATCCTCAGGCTGCATTCTTCCCACAATGCAACTCCTCTCGTTTCTTAGGCCCTGGCTGGTTCTGGCGTACCCCAAAATGTAGCCCTCCGCCCCAAGGGCCCAGCTTTCCTTTCCTCCGCGGATGCCCAGTTGGCCATTCCACCTTCAACCCCAAAGGTTCCCATTCTCCAATCACTACCGCAGCCGAGTTTGGAGCACGCTGCCGGGCCCCAGGAGGGCGCGGGGCAGGTGTCCTGGCAGCGTGGAGCCTCCACTCTCCTAGCTTTCATCAGTAAGCCCCTCACGCGCGCGCCCCGCATCCTCCCTCATCCCTTCCCCCCGAAGCTCAGTAGCCTCCAGCCTCGGTCACTGCAACGTCAGAGCTGCTAGAGGAAGGCAGAAAGGCGCGGCCGCCAGCAATGACACCATGTGACAAGCACCACTTAGTGACACGCAGCTTTGGTTGAAAGCGGGCGCGCAGAAGGGGAGGAGACGGTGGAGGAATGGCCTGACTTTCCCGGTTAAAACATCTTAAGCCCCAGACTGCAGAAGGACCACGCGCCTCCCAGTAGGAAATGACTACGGCTCGAGACCCTGAACGCCAGAGCGTGTCGATGTAAGTGAGAGGCTGGCGATAAGAGTGTGGGTGAGGGTTGGTGGTGGCGGTGGCTGGGGGGCGGGAGGAGATTCGAATTCAATCAGCCAAAAGGAAGAGAGCCAAAAGAACGCGGCCTGGGGCAGCCACGCCATTGCGCCTGAAGGTCGCTGGGAACCTCCGCCCTTCACCTTCCTCCGAAATCTGCCACGCCAAGCTTCCCAGCCCAACCCTCGCTGATTTAGGACCACCTTTTTTCCCTGCCCTGGGAGCCAGACCTTGACACAAAGGACATCAAACAGCAGTTGGGAATATCCGGAAGGGCGGACACTTTGACATCGCCTTTTGCCACCTTTCCCTTTATTTCCCAAGGTAAGGTGATTATTTTCACCCTAGGGAGGGCTGGGGGAGCGGCGGTAGGGAGAGGAGTGATGGTTTGAGCCTCGAGAGGAGGCTGAAACGTAGAAATTCTCCCAGCATGGAAGGAGGCAGAGCGCGGCTGCGCCTGATGTCTTCAGATTTTGCTTTTCGGAAAGGAAAAGTCCTAGTCCCCTGCTCTTCCCTGAGGTGCGGCCATGCGAGGAAGCGTCAGGGTCCCTGATTTCACCTTTGAAGGGGCTGTGGCTTACTTTTTTGATCTGTTTCTAGGGTGGCAGAGTGTGGCGTCAGGTCTGGTTACATTTCATTTGGTTCAGCGACCACGCAGGTCTGAAAGGAGAGAGCAGACAATGTGAGGGCGCGGAGTGCCGAGAAGTGTACGAATCCCCTTGGGGGGGAGGGTATTTCCTGAGTCGGTAGGGCCCCGAGAAGCGCGTGTGTTGTCCCCGAGGGTGCGGCGTGCGGCTGGCAGGTCTAGGTACTGGCCACTATTTAGGGAGCCAAGCCGCCGAGCAGAGTAAACAGGAGCACGTTGGTCGCCCCTCCTTCGCGCTTTGCGGGTCTCTAATGAGGACGAGTAGGAAGATGCGGAGGGGGAACTATCAAAGGATGCTGGCAGTGACTCATTGTCTTTTCCCGCCCAGAAGAGATTCTTTACAAAATGGAGAGAGAGAGGGCAAAAGAGGTAGTTATTTTCCGAGACGCGGATCCGCTGGAGCCGGCGGACAAAAGGCCACCGCTTGAGCCGGGCCCCTCGCGGATTGTGCGCCCCTCCAGGCTCACCTCCTCCCCCCACCCCATCACCTCTCTCGGGTCCCTAAATGTTGCCACAAAAGGCTGTTAAACTCTCAGGCTTCCCTCCTGGAGGAAAACGCGCCTTCGATCTTGCGTGCGGCCCGCCCTTGTCTCCCCCCCAAATAATCCGCTTCTCTGCGCGCCTGAGCTCTTAGCACCCACTGGGACCCCGCAGGCGATCGCGATGCCTAGGCGCCGCTTGGTTGCCGAATCTCCAGGCCCTGGGTTTCTTCTGAAGTGTAGTCCCTGAAAGCACGAGTGCATATGGCGGCAAAAGGAATTTCGCGGTAACCGCGTCACGCCGTTCCCAGTGCCTTTCACAGGCTGCCTTTGGCCGGGGAAGGTGGTGCTAACAATTGAGTCCTTTGTGTCTCGCTCTGCGGCGCGGATCTGGAGTTTTTACGAGCCTGTTTCTTCCGTGGAAACCTAACTGCCGCCGGGATCGCGTACTTTTTTCAGACCAGTYTACCGTGATGTACGTAGTAAGAGTGGAAAAACCTGGCCGCTGGGAAACTGTATTCATTTGCATTTGGAAGGGGGTTTGACATCTCTGCAATGAGTTTTTACATTTTTGAATGTAAGGAGGAGTGGGACGTTAAATGTATGGTGGGCAGAATGTGGGGCCTAGCGAGGCTGTAATTTGTCACCTTGATAGAAGAAACTGTGCAACAAACTCGTGCTTTTTCTGACGTCAGAAGGACAACGGAAATAAAACCTGAGCCTGGCAGCTGGCTGGCCTCATTGTCAAATTTCTCACACCGGGTGGGTACTCCTGTAATCTATGCAAGACAGTCAAGTGGAGACACTGATCTCGTGTGGGACCCCTGGATTTTGTTTCAACCCCTGCCTCAAAATGGCTTTGCTCTTGAGAGTCTCTTAAGTTCTCAGTATGTTGCTGTAAGCAACTGGAAACCGGCCTATTTTGATTTGAGGTCTTAATCTTGATGAGGTTTATTCGCCTCCCCTCCATGTACTGCATGCKATATATTATGAATATACGTTTTCTCCTGAGGGCTCACTATGTAGCTGGTAGCAACTAACAAGATCAAATTTCTGCTTCTGTGATGCTTCCGTTCTCATGGGGGAAGCACATTATATGCATGCATGTATAGATACKCGTCTGGCAATGAAGAAACAGGTCTTGAGATAGAGTGACCCACTAGAAGGGCCCTAGTGTGTGGAAAGGTGACATCTGTCCTAAGATCTGAGTGATGAGAAAAGATCAGCTGTTTGAATTATCAGGAGAAGTCCAGCAGAAAGAACAGCAAGTACTTCCTTATTACACTCTGCTTTGCTGTAATGTAATTCAGCACATGARGTCAATAGATTTTAAAGGTGTTTTTTTTTTTTTATTCTTTAAACATATTCTGTTGCATATATATGTGCACACCTGTTTATCCTACTTTTTTCCTCTCTCTGGGTGATACTTGAGGGCAAAACCCATCTTACTCATTGTTCCCCTAATGTCTAGCACATAATAGTTGCTTAATAAGTACTTGCTGGATTGAGACCTTAGTCAAGCCATTTTATCCACCTCTTTATTATATTGTTAATCATCCCTTCCTTTCCATATCCCATTATCTGTTCCTTACTCCTAAGTTTGAAATATTGGGGTTTTGCTTGTTTGTTTTTTGTACTGCTTTTCTTTCTTTCTCTCCAACATGGTCCTGGGGATTGAACTGAGGGGCACTAGACTACTGAGCCACATCCCAGTCCTATTTTTTTTTTTTTTTTTTTTTTGTATTTTGTTTAGAGACAGGGTCTCACTGAGTTGCTTAGTGCCTTGCTAAGTTGCTGAGGCTGGCTTTGAACACACAATCCTCCTGCCTCAGCCTCCCAAGCTGCTGGGATTACAGGTGTGCACCACCAGCGCCTGGCTTTTTTTTTTTTCTTTCTTGTATTTTGAACCAGGGTCTTGCCAAATTTCTGGGGTTCTGGGGCTGGCCTCTAACTCTCAACCCTCTTGCCTCAGCCTCCTGAGAGTCTGGGACTATAGGCATGTGCCACTGCGTGTGGTTCTGCTTTGCTTTTCTTTTTCACCAACTCTCCCTTTTTGAGCTGTGGCTAAGCCCTAGCAACTGCCTCTCAAACTTGTCCTCTTGTCTTCATCCTCACTGCCCAAGTATAGGTCCCTGTCACCTGACCTAGATGTAGCAATTCAACTAGAAKGCTGGACTATGAGAATCACGAAACAGAATGGAAGAATCCAGTGGTCGAGGGAGTAAGATGCAAATTCTAGGCCTGGTTAGGAGGGAAGGAGCCAACAAGTGAAGAGGAAGAGCTTCCCAGCTGGCCTCCTTCATACTAAGCTCTGCTCCTGTAATTCAACCTGGATACTCCCATGAGATTTGTATTTTTAAAACTCAGTTTACTTTTTTTTTTTTTTTAAGACCTTGCTTCTAAGAGCCTCCAGTGGCCTACAAATAAAATCGAAATTCCTTCATGAGGCAGGCAAGACCCTTCATGTTCTGACTCCTCCCCTTTCCCTCTCTCTCCCGAGGTTCCCTTTCTCCCAGTACAGGCTCACAGTACACCCTTCCGTCACTTTTCTTCTTCAGTAGCTATGTGGATTCCAGACTGGAATGCCCACTGAAGTCATCATTTGTGACAGCCTAGCCAGATGCYATTCTTCTACCTCTTGGAAGAAGTGTTTGCTGATCACTTCATTGACTTTTTTTGGTTGTTGTTAAGGATTTGTTGATCCTCTACTATTTGCATTACTGTCACCCAGGTCGTGCATTACTGGGGTCTCATCAGGTCTCAAATTACTAGCCCCAAGGACGACCTTAGCATCTCTAAGTTTCAGTGTTTTTCAGTTGTTAAATAGGGATGCTGATGACGGTGGTAGTGGTAGTGCCCATCTTATTGAGTTATCCTGAAGATTTAATTAAGATAATGGATGTGATGTGTTTGGCATGGTGTTACCACTTCATTTATATTAAAGTAGAAAGGACTTCAGGTTCATCATCTTTCAGGAGAAGTGGGGAAAGTTGACCAGTGATGTTCCCCTTACCTTTGCAATTCTGTTTAATCTTTTAAAAATGCTTTTCTGAAAATAATATCCTAATGGAGAACTATCTGAAGTTTTCCAGCCTGTGACGTGTGGGGGTGGGCATGAAGGAAGTATGTGCATAGAAGTAGGCACATTCAAAACTGTATGATGGACTTCGGAAAAAGACATCTTGCTAGGCTGACCCTAACTTGAATCTTTTAAAAACACTGTTAAGCTTACTAGTAGAATTTGATTGCATATTCATTGGTTTTCTAGTGATAATTTATGTATCAGGATTAGTTATCAATGGTAATGAGCTCAATGACTGGGAAAGCAAAGTGGCAACATGGTTTGGGGGAACTAGCCCTGGGTCTGCAGTCAAAAGACTGTGTCCAGCAAGGCTACAATGTGTCCTCCTTGCCAATAACTATCTGCCCAGTCTTGGGCAACTCATTCAACATTTTTATACCTCACTTCCCATCTGCCCAACTGTGAAGATATAATGAGAACTGAACAGAGAAAATCCTTGAACAAGTTAAAAGAACTATTCAAGATGATGGTCATCTGGAGGTCAAGCACACTGCTAATCTGCAGGTTTGGGGAAGGGTTTAGATATTAGTGATTCTCAGCCCTGGCTTCACAGCAAACTCATCTGCGGCCTTGTAAAAACCTACCAATACTCAGGCTCCATCTCCAGAAATTCAGATTTCATGTAGAGTAAAGCCCAGACACCAGATTTCAGAAAAAAAGGAAAAAAAAAAAAAAAAAAAGGAAGGAAGGAAGGATCACTAATATGTGGTAGTCTCTATTTAAAACAAAGCAAACAAACAAAATCAGAAATTCAATGAGGACCTCAGTCTGTTGCTTGATGAAGTCTTAGCAATGCAAAATTATGAGCTTGACTAACTTTTCCCCTTGATGTCACCAAGCCACCCAGTTGTTGACCTCATGGAGCCACAGCCTTGGGTTACAATTTATAACCTGAATTTTCCCAGGCGTAAAAGCCTGTCCAGTAATACAGCCAGGGCCACATGAAGATTTAATGTGGATCTCAGTTTCCATCTCTTAGSCATGACGAAGAGGATTAGAAAAGAAGGGACACAATGGAAAGGAGAAGGAAAGGGATACGTTGTGTCAGGCTGTAGAAGGAAGAGACTGGGTGGGCAGAGGGGAGAAAAGGTGGAGTTTAGTCTATTGAAACGGTGTT